GATGTCAAACATATGCATTTATGTATGTACGTAGTATATACGAATTTGTCACACCGCTGCTCAAATTTAATGTGGTCTCACCGCCCACTTAGCGCGTTTAAATGCACATCCAAATACATATGTACATATGTACATATGTATATCTAAGATTTAGATATTTTTTGCATGCACTCGTATGAGTGTTCAAATATCATATATCAATATATGTACGTAGGTACCTGCAAGTTTAAATGCAACTTATCTTAGTTATCTACGCTGGAAGTGGGTGTCTTAAGACATAAATTTGGCTATCTTATTAGTGTTGGAGGCGGTTATACCTATAGTCATACGAAAATTGGCTTTAAATTATAATAAATGTTTCGGTATACCCTTGATTTTCAAAGTCACAAATATTTCTTAGAATGGCCATTCCAAATGCACTTTTATTACCGACTTTTGTTGTATTACCGACTTCCGGTTTCGACCATTAATTAATTAAAAAATATCAACTAGAGAAAGAAAATTAACTTAAAGTTTTATTTTTATTTTTATACATATTTGCTTTTACTTTTGGTACATATAAAAAATTGAACTTTGTAGGGCTGATAAAAATTATAACAATTTTACTTTTTAATAAAAAAAGTGCACTTTTTGTTACAATTTTGGTACTTATAAATTGTTTAAAGTGGCAACCATGCTTATTTAGAGTAGCATCGGCTATTCTCTTCTTAATGAGTACAGGGTTCGAGTATGTATTATAATGGCATAGACAACTTGTCATTCACCTCGAATTTTGTCACCATTTTTAAATAATTTTACTTAGGAAATTTGGATGCCTCCAAGAACTACATAGGTATATGGACTGGTTTTATGCCACATTGTCTCCATTTTTAACTTTTTCGCTGAAAGGGAAATGTTTAAACTTTCTCTTTCTCCCATGCAAAGGATTCCTCTCTGTTTTGTTATTTTAGTATCGAATAATTTTAAGAAAATCAGCTCTCATTAACTTTGCTGCAAAATTTTGTTGACCAGTGTTAGCAAATGAAAAGTGGCGAACAAACAAACAGATTACCTAGTGTTCATAAAAAATTCCCACAGAAAATTACACATTCAGATTCCGGCGAATTTGCCGAAATTCCGAGAAATTGTTTTCAACAATTTTTTTTTGATTGAAAAGCTTATTCAGACTAGTGTGCACATTCCAAAAAAAAAAATAGTCAACCGTTGCCAAGTGCTGCGGGTGGCAACGTACAATAAATACTTCATGAAAATCTCAAAAAAAAAATCATTAATACTTTTTTGGTCAATGAGTCAATGAAACTAAAAAAAAGTTAAAATTAATGTGCCGTAGTGAGTGACAAACCCCAAAATATTTACAACGAGAAAAAGTGATGTGCTCATGAGGAACATTTAAAAATTCTTCTACTAAAATTAAATTCAAAATAATAAGCGTCAATGGACAAAATGATTTCAAAAAAGTTGCATTTACAGCCAATTTCACGAAAGCAATTTAAGTGAAAAATTATTTAAAGTTTTTAAATTTCTTATGGAAATTGGCAGTAAATAAAAAAAAAATCATTTTCCTTTTAAATTGCTGTTGATTTAAAAAACTAGAAATCTTTAGACGCAAGCGATATTAGAGATGGCAAAAATACCGAAAATTTTTAAATACAAATAGGCGGAGTGCATTTTCAAATACATAAAAAGAAAAACAAATAATACTGCCAGCCGGTGATTTACTATGCATAGTTTGTTGTGCGCAAAAACTATATGTCATATGTGTTGAAAATTTAGTTAAACCAAAACAATGAATGAAAATACGAAATAACCACTCTACCCAAGAATTGGACAAAAAATTTAAACAAAAACGAAATAAAATGAGCTGTGGCGCCTCACACAACCCATAGGGAAAATCTTCAAAAAAAACACACATATTTTTTTCATCAGCTACTTACATACCTACAAACATATGTGTGTGCTGTAAAAAAAAAATTACTTTTCTGCACTGTGCGGTTGGTTGTGCAAGAAAACGGAAATCAAGAAGGCGTAAAATATTTTTTTGAGGTTTCGTGTTAATTTTGCGCCTCATTACTCACTCAAGTGAGCGGATGTGTGTATTAGTGAATGGGCGGCGAATTGGCAAAGTGCTTTGATTTTCCACAAGCACTATACTTTCTTTGTTGTGCGGTTTTTATACCTTTCATGAGCATGAAATGGTATTATAACTTTGGTCCGATGTTTGTAAGTACCAGAACAAATAGAGATAGACCCATGAAAATGTATACCTATATGATCAGAACGTCGAGATGAGTTGATTTAGCCATGTCCGTCTGTCCGTCTGTCTGTCTGTTTGTATGCAATCTAGTCTCTCAGTTTTCGAGATATCCGGATCAAATTTGGTATGTGGTTGTATTTTTATAATGTATTAATCATTTGTCGGAACCGGAAGAATCGGACCTTTATAACATATAGCTCCCATACAACTGATTGTTCA